GCCCCTTGTGGTCCCCCGAGACCCGCCGCAGCCAGTCAGGCGGGGTGCAGGGCGCGACGGCGAAGGGGGGACACACGCTTACCCGGGTTTGAAACCCCCTCCCTTGCCGCACCGGAGAGCACCCGGTGTGGGGGCAGCGGGGAAAGCGGGGAGCAAGCAGCAGGCCGCCGGAGCTCGCCGAGGCCAACAGAAGCCGGAGGCTTTTCTGTCTTGCTCGCCGCCCCCCCGCCCCAAGAGCAGAAGGGTGTACCTGGGGAAGGGGATGCTGCGCTGCCAGGCCAGGTGGCCGCTTCTCAGGGCTTCGGTGGGATCTCGGGGGGCCGCCCAGGACAGGCCTGCTGGGGAGGGGGCAGCAGGGATGCTTCCCGCCTGGCCGGGCTCAGTGGTGGTTGCACCAGCTTCGGTTTCAGGCGTGCTCGGGACCTGCTGCCTGCATTGACTTCCCCAGATCCGCCAGCATTTAGCAGGTGCGGAAAACCAGACCCTTGGGGGGGTCAGAAACCAGCACATACTTCAGACAGCCGAGGCGAAATGCAGTCTAACCGAATGAGAAGGGCTGGACCCACTGCTGCTGGGAACACACACCCTGTTGCAGAGCTTTGTAGCAACCGACCAGTTTAGTCCCACCGGTCAGCCGGGCACGTTGGGAGGTGCAAGGTCCGGGAGGGAGATACATGTTTAATACAGCACGGCACAGTCCCTGGAGGGAGCGACCATGCCTGGCGAGCCGCTTGTGGCCAGGGAGCAGCCCAGTTGCAGCCACAGCGGGGAGGGAAGCTGCGGTCCTGGCTGGGCTTGGAGCTCTGGCCAGAGCCACTGCCCCGGGGCTGTGGGCATCCACAGGAGGAGCGCAGGGAGACGAGGGCCTGCCCTGAGCTCCCGAGAGCTCTGCAAGCCACAGTGCTGAAACTGCTCAGTAGTATCCACACAAAGCCAGAGCTTCCCACAGGCCGGGCGCCGTGGGAGATGGGCAGCAGGGTGCTGAGAGCACCGCTGGGCAGCGGCTGACTGCACCGCTCCCTTTCAGGCCATGCTAGCACACCTGGGTCCACTTGGCTCCTGCAGCTGCCCTGGAGAGCCGTTTCTTCTTGGAAAAAAACCCCTTAGCAATGCTATTGCCACTGAGCTGGTTCATCATCTAATAACTCAAATGCATCTTCGCTAGAAATCGGACAATAATGGCACATAGTCCATCCTGCATTCATTTCCCAGTTTCCAGTAAAATATAAGAAAATAAACCAGCCCTGGCATTTCAAGGCAATTATTCAGAAGGGTCAAGAGACACAGACCAACAGAGAGGGACTGGACAACGTCAAGTCTCTTTAATGCGTAGGGATAACGTGATAAGGCTGTCAGTTACCCTGCAGTGAGTGAGGCAGGGATCAAGCAGTTGTAATCAAGTTTCGGGCTTCTCTGACCTTACCCGCTCCTCAGTGGTTATTATCCACTGCACGCAGTAAAAGATTCTGATGCCGTGATCATGCCCTGGGGACTGCAGTGGGCGTGCTGGGCCCCTGCAGAGCCACAGACACAGAGCCGCCACGCAGGCAGCGGCCCGGACACACAGCTGGCTGCGGCTGGACGTGCTACGTGCTCTCCTTCCTTTAGTTCTTTATTTACCGATTTGCAAGGCGCTGCCCAACGCAAGTGGAATCTAAAAAATTGGCAGCATGGATAGTTTTTCTGTACAAACTCAGGTAAACTAGCGACTCTGCTGTGAAGGGAGGAAGGGAAGGGTCCCCTGTGATATTCCCACGGAGGGAAAGCCGCTCCAACAGTTGCTAATAGGAAACGTTGGCTCCGCAGAGCCACGCTGCTGGAGAGAACTGTGGTGAGCAATGGATTCTTTTCTGGTGAAATTGGGGCAAATCTTTTGCTGGTATAACACGGGCTAGCAGCACCCAGGCCAGGCAGGCGATGCTGATTTATGCTAATGAAGGGGCTGGGCCAATCTCCTCATGCTATTTGAGTCAATAGGAGCATTGCCAGTAGCTCCAACAAGGGCATGATTTCATCCTGGTGTGTGTCGCCTTAGAGTGGAGCAGCCACGGAGCAGGCATCTCCTCCCTGCGCTCTCAGGGGCGGAGTACAGGAAGGAGCCACTTGCCCTCCAGAACTTTCCCCTCCAGTTTTAAGGTCTTTCCCTTCTCTGTAACACCAAGCTTGCGAACATTTGCAAACTGCCCGTTTGGTGATAACGCAGCCCTCGGCCTGGTCAGGGGCCCGGTAGAAGCAAGCAGTGACAAAAGTTGTATACAGCCGTATGGCTGCGTTTAACCCAGCAACATTGTCTTGCATCAGGCCGAAGTCATTCCTTGTGCTCTGAAGGCCCCCGGGAGCAAACGACAAAGCAGCGGATTGTACTGAAGCTGCTGAGGGCTGTATTCACTGGTCGAACACAGCCAGCGTGGGGATTGCGCAAGCTGAAGTTCAGCGACTCTGTGCCAAGTGATGATGTTACCGGCTGTGGAAGGGAGCCAATCCGAAATGATGGAAAAAACATTTTTGTAGAGAAACATCATCTCTGAAACCATATAAACAAATCAGTTTGGGCACAACGGAACAAAGAGCTATAAAAGGAGAGTGTGGGAAAAACACCACCAACGGGTGATAATTCACATGGTGCCCGCCAGACTGTATTTTTGTAATTTCTGTTCCTTGGGGACACTGGCCTATGATTTCCAAAGCACAGAGAAACACAGAAACAGCGCAGCCAGATGTGGGGCCACACTCGGCACCCCTTGTCTGGGAAGATGCTCCAGAGCAGGATGCAGCCGAGCAAGCAGGGGGCTAAGCACAGGGGGCTTTGCAAGAGCTGCAGGCGATGGCCTAGGCTGCTCCCCTGGGTCCACGGCCAGCAGGACCTTTGCGCTCAAAGGCTCCACGAGCGGAGGCAAAGCGTTGTCCGAGATGTCTGCTTCATCTGTGCGGCCTTGTCTTCGGGAAGAGCAGAGCACAACAGCCGTGGCCAGGCAGCTTCACAAGAAACTAATCACTTCTAATGCAGTTAGAGAACTTCAGCCCTTGGGAAAACACAGCGCACCTTTCCGTGGGTCTGGGAGGAGAGACCACTGGAATTCAGGTTTAGAAGAAAGAAATTAAATTTGTATTAGCGGCTGAAATCCTTTCTCTGCTTTGAGAGACTATTTCAGAGAGCAGAAGAGCAATAACCTCTGAGGAGGTGAAATCCACAGCAGAGGAGCAGGTCCTCCACACGCTGCAATGGCACCGCTACCGGGGACATGATTCCGGCAAGATCAGCTGTTATTAGGTTCCAATTTTTGTTTTGTTCTTTCTCAAAAGATCTGTTTCTCTAGCATGCCATCTCAGACAGCAATAAAACGTTACGAGCTGCTGCTCTGTGGGGCACACCAAGGCTTTTATGAGCAGAAACCCCAAGACCCCAGAGAGCCTTTGGACAAACATAAGCTGGGTCTGGAACTCAAGACCTGTTGAATTCACAATTTGATCAGACCAACATAAACCGGGGAAGTCACACAGGGCCCCTACTCCTACCCCATCTCAACTGCTTTTGTTTGTCAAAAACCCCGTTGCCTTCACCACTGCACGTGCTGGGCCGTCAGCTGTAACACAGTCAGCCAAGACGTGGTGCCTCTGTGTGCCAGGGAGTAAGAGCCCCCATTCCCCCTGCCGTCTCTCCTGTGACCAGGGGCAGAGGTGACCTTTGGCCCCTAGCACAGGGCACCTAATGGGCCTCGCACCCTGCACAGATCGCACCCAGGTCCCCCGACCACATGACTGCATCAGCAGGTCTGGCCCAGGCCCTTTTCACACTTCCATTTTCAGGCATGGTTTTCGGTGTTATTCTAGCAGCACCAGCTGCATCAGGACCCAGCAACACTTCTTGGTCCAGCTCAGCATTTTCCCAGCTGAGCAGCACCCCATTCACCCCAACCCAGGGCAGAGCTGCAGGGCATCGTCCACACCGCTGCTCCAGCTGCACATGCCTGATGAGCTCAGCACGTACATCCCCCCACCACCCTGGGCTCTGCTCACTCTCCCACTACCACCGTTAATCCTGCAGCTCTGCACTGGCTAGCAGGGCATTGCCCCGTTACAACAGGACCCCGAGCAAGCTGGGTTTTGCACCACAGCTACAAAGTCCCTCTCTGCCCTAAGCCCCAGACAGGTCGCTGCCAGCCGCAGGTTATTCCCCCCTGAACTCACTGAGCGGCAAAGACGTTATGAAGTGAAAACAGCCCCTTGGCCTCTGCACACCCCCTTCACAGGAGGCTCGTACACACACTGAGAGGTTTCTGGGTTGCTTCTTTGAAAAGCCATTTGAGGTCAGGCTGACTCAGTGTTTCCCAAAACGCAACAACTCTTACTGCTTTGGTGCAGGTCTAGAGCAGCCGCCAAGCACTGCCTTGCGCGCTGGGGCCTGCTCCGAGTCCCACGGAGATGTGGCTGCTTTCTGCACACGTAGAGCCAGACTAGACCTGCTATTCCAAAATTCAAATGCAAACTGCAGCTCTCTGCCTGCAGATAACCTTTTCCACAGCAGGCGGCCAGTTCTGGGAACCCGGGTGATGCTCCCAGGAGGTGAGGAGGGGATGTGCCTGCGGCAGCCTGCGCACCCTGAGAACTTTGCATCTTCACTTTGCAGGTAGCCTCTGCAGCTCCGGAGCCCCTGCACGGCTGGAGACAGCAGTCTCCAGCACACCTATGGGAAACGAGCCTTCCCAGTCCACAAAGAGCCAGGTGGCCCCGCTGCAAGTGATGCGGGTCAGAAACCAGGCTGCCTGGCCCATGCAGAGTCCAGTACTCGCATCGTTGAGGGAAATTATGTTTCCAGTTCCTCTGCAGGACGTACTGGACACCACAGCACAGAGCCTTCTGCTCGGGGTTTGCCCCCCCACACCACACCAACCTCCTTCCCAAGGAGGGAGAGGCAGGCTGCAGCAGGTGGCCATCGTACTCCCATGCTGGGGAGAGACAGGGCCACTGCAGCCGGAGCTAGCGGCAACAGACCTGTGAGGCCGATTCAGACTATTTCAAAGAGAGCAAGTGAGCTCCCCAAAGCACCAGTCCCTCCTTTAATGTTTCCAGCTGCAAGAAGACAGGTTACAAAGAACCACTGCAAGTAACCTTTCCTCCTCCTGAGGAAAATTCAAGCCTAAATGCTCATTACTGCCATTTCTCTAACACCGGGCAATTGCACAGGCTGTGCAGCCTTCTCAGGAAAGCGTTTCATTCTGGTCCACAGCATTCACAAGCTGAATTCTGATATGGCTCTCCTCTGGGCTCATGCCCATGGATCCACTCCCCCCCTCCAGAGGCTTCACCCCCACACGACTCCATGCCTACATTACCTCTGTACCTGAGCACCTACTGCCAAGCCCCTGTAAGACCTAAACCACCCCCTTTCTCCCAGCAGTCTCTTTGAGCAGTAACCCAGAGGGTGAAGGGCAGGAAGGGCTTTTGCAAAAAGCCGCTCCATCACATGCACCCACATGAATGGCAACCGCCATGAGGCAGCTCAAGAGCAGGTGCGCATTGGAGTGCTGAGCACATGCCCACAGACCTGTGGGGCTGCACATGGCTGCAACCCCCCCATGCACTTGCTGCACTCCAGTCCCATGGGCCCACCGCAGTGTGCGTGGCCTTGACACTGGGGCCCAAAGAACCGTGAGGAGAGGGGCAGCCCTGGAGCATCACAGCATGGTCTCCAGCCAGGGCCAAGCCCTCCCTGTTCCCTGGGGCTCCCTTGTTACCTGGATGCTGGGGCTCACCAGCTTCCTTTCCAGCGTGTCCCAAAGAGCCGTCTCCACATGGAGCACTACCAAAACGTTTATTGAGAAGAGTGCAAGGTGGCCAGGCTCCCCAAGACCCCTCTGCAACTGACCACACATCTGGGGAGAGGAGCGTGGCCTCGGCAAGGGGCAGCCAGCCTCTGCCTAGCCGATGGGCACTGCCACACTGGGGATCTCCCGTAGCGCCTTGTGTGCCTCAAAGCATCCACAGGGAGACACGGACACTTGTTTCCTTGAGAGGAAATGTGTCCCCGCTCTGGTGTGGGCAGGGAGGTGAGACCGGCTACGCGATCCCTGCGTGCTCAGCAGCCGGAGGGAGGAGGCAGCAACCCAGCACAGTCACTGAACAACGAGCCGTGAGATCCAGCGACTGGCTCACACTGGAGAAGGGCTGGGCGCTGCCTGGTCTGCATCACGCTCCACCTCAGACCTTTGGCTGCTGCTGGCTTCTGTCGCACCTCCCACGGCCATCCCAGGAGAGCAGACCTGCCCCACACCGCTGCCGAAATCCTCATGGCAGCAGGTGGGGGACGGAGACCGGCTGCATGCAGTCCTGGGAGCGAGTGCTTGCTCGGACCATATCCGCGGCATGGAAAAATAAACAAACAGGTATTTCTCTCACAGGGAGGAACATCATTTCAAAGGCGCTTCCTAAACCTATCTGCAAACATGAGAGCAACTACTGCTCCTCCCAGAGGGTGGTGTAACTGCACTGCGGGGCTCCCCTTTGCTCAGCCCTCCCTGGAGAAAACAGGGAACTTGGCCTCGCGGGTGCGGGCAGCTGCTGCCCGCCAGGGCAGCATGGCACACGGCTGCACCATGCCAGCTGAGCCCCGTCCCATGCCCCAAGGTGGCACAGCTGCGACATGGCAGCAGTGTGCGAAGGAGAGTGCTCCCTCACCACGGGCAGCCCACTGCTCTCCTGTGCCCCACAGCTCTCCTGCTTGCCGTTTCCATCCGCAACCTCCACCGGATCGACGGGCAGCGCTAGCAGCCCTTTGCCCGCCGAGCGTGCCGCGGTCCTGCCAGGAAGCACTCGTGACAGCCCCATCCGGACACATCTATTTACACGAGAAGAATCACAGACCCAGGGCAAGGAGGTGCCTCCCAGCTGGCACAGGCTGCTGTCCCCTGCGTGCTGCCAGCTCAGGGCTGGCTGGGTGCTTCGCCCAGCCACCGCCAGGCTACCTCCTCCCTTGCACTGGGTGAGGGCAGAGTCACTTTGCAGGTGCCATATTTTCAGAGGTTGGGGGCAGCAACAGGTCCCTGGCTGCACAGACAGTCCAGAGATAGGCAGGGGGATCTGCTGGTAGCATCATGCCCTGGCAGCAAGCAAGGGCAGGGGCCCATGCTGGCAGGAGAGGCATGGCCCAGGCAAGTGTCTGGCCCAGTCTTAGTCGTTCTCACTCTGCAAAGGAGAGAGGGGAGAGCAAGGGTGAGGTGCCGAGGGCTTGCGGGGGGCGGGGATACAGCCCCGCTCAATGCACCAGGGGCCACCTGGTAAGTCTCCCTGCCGAAGCACAGCCCTGCCATGCCACCTCACCTCCATTTTGCTGTATATCCAGCTGAGAAGCTTTGTCACACGCGTGTAAACACCGGGCTTGTTCTTCTGGCCACATCCTGTCCCCCAGCTTGTGACCCCAGCCACATACCAGCGGCCGTTGTCCTCGCAGACCAGGGGCCCTCCGCTGTCACCCTAGTACAGAGGGGCAGAGCAGTGAGGACAGGAGACAGGAGACGCCCCTCTGCCGGTACCCAGCCAGCGGACACTGGCACACAGGAAAAGCGGGCAGCCCTGTCCGTCCTGCATCACCTTGCCTGGTGGGACCGTGTGCCCCTGGCTCACCTGGCACGCATCTTTCCCCCCCTGCAGGTACCCGGCACACATCATCCGTGGGGTCAGGTAGCCCTCGTACACCTTGTCGCTGTTGCAGACCTTGTAGTCAATCAGCTTCACCTCGGCCTCCCGCAGCTTTGGGGACGTGTTATCTGCAAGGCAGGAGCAGCCATGGGGCAGGGTGGGCCTCGTCCCCCCACTGCCCCCTGGGCCCCTCTGCAGCACCAGGCATTTCCGTGGCAGCGAGGGAGGAAGCTGGTATTTCTTGCAGGCCTTATTTCTGCTGAGCTGCATGGCCAGGAGGGCAACCACTGCGAGTCACCCCTGTGGGAATGGCCCTCAAACACAGCAGCAGAGCCACGCTCACTCCTCTCGCGCACTGCCTTCGTAGGTCAGGCTGCGGCACACAGGAGCTGCCTGTGGAGAGCCGGCATCCTCCCTCACCTTCGTTCTCCCTGGTCTTCCCAAAGCCGGTGATGAAGCAGGACCTGCCGGTCTGGAATTGCTGGCCGTACATGGGGAGGCAGGCTGGGCGAACCTGAGCTGGAGGGAGACATGATGAAAACCAGGAGAGGAGAGAGGGGTGAGTCACCCAGGAGCAAAATAGCCATTGTAGTCACTAGCCCTGCAGCTAGGGAGGAGCGTGGTGTGCAGGAAGCACTCCCCTCTGCACCCACCCAGGCAGGGTCTCTGCCGGATCCCCCCGCCGCACTGCCCATGTGGGGCACGGTGAGCGGCACGATGCTGGCTGCGCAGCTGAGCCCACGGCTGCATGTGTGTCGGGCCGTGCCGGGGGAGGACGGGCCGGTTCCTGACCACAGGCCAGGCAGGGGAAAGCAGTGTGGCCACAGCAGAGCAGGATGCTCCAGCTGGCAGCAGCCCCATGCAGCCCAGAGGACGGCTCCAAGGGGACCCGAGCTGCCTCTTGCTCCTGCCCGTCCCCCGCAGCCTCTCTCTGTCCCCCATACACCAGCCCCTGCCAAGCCCAGCCCTGCGGCATGGCAAGATGAGAGCCCTGACCTGAGAGCGTCAGCGGCCTGGAGAGCTTCATGAGTGCAATGTCATAGTCATCGTGATCGTCGCTGTAGTTGGAGTTAATGATGACCTGGGAGACGGGAATGCCCTCCGCATGCTGCTTCAGGTCCGAGACCCCGCCGTACACCTTCCAGTCATCGAGGATCTTCATGCTGTTCCTGGGCAGGGAGAGAGGTGGGGGCAGCAAGGAGTGAGACGCTGGGCAGAGTGCTGGCGCAAGGGCTGCCGGCCACAGCCGGTGCCCCTGGCTGGACAGCAGCACTCACATGAAGAAGCAGTGGGCCGCGGTGAGGACCCACTGCGCGTCGATGATGGTGCCGCCGCAGATGTGGATGGGCCCATACTGCACACTGACTTGCCAGGGCCACTTGGTCACGGAGGTTTCCTTTCCTCCAATGATTCGGCCAGAAATCCTCTGCCCGCAGGCTGGAGGGGAAAGCAGGGCTGAGAGAAGGGCTCAGAGAGAAGGGAAGGCTGGAGGGGAACGCGCATGACATCCCCACTGCCCGCAGGCACCAGCAGTGCTCAGTACGTTCGCAGGGGCCAATGGAGACCATGGGAATGCAATCTTCATAGTTTTCTGTTACCCAGAAAGTTTGCTGGAAAATGCCCCATTTGCCCAGCCCTGTTCAAAGAGGGGAGGAAAGCACTCCCAAGCCTGTGTTTGGCCTTGCCCGCCCTTGGCCATGTGCCCTGCCAGACAGCCCCCTTACTTGTGCATCGGAGGGAGACGTACTTTCCCGTCAGACAGTGGGAGCTGCAGCAGAGAAGAGGGAGATGCGGCCTCAGCCCCTGCCCTGCGGCACCAGGGCAGGGGCAGGGCCAGGAGGTGACACTGCCTGGTACCTGTTGAGGCTCTGCTGGATGGTCTCTCGCTCATCAGTCACAGTGAGGCTCTTGCCGGAGACGTGCAGGGGAATGTATTCAGTCTGCGATGCACTGGGAGGGGAGAGGAGAGAGGAAGTGAGGGTGTGTGTCCCCGGCTAGGCACTGACTGCCTGATCCCTGCCTTCTCAGAGAGGCTCTGCATGCTAAACCTGGGGGGGACAGACTGAAACACCCAGACCAGTGCTGGACGCATGGCCTCCCAGAGGAAAAGCACAATGCTGGGGGAAAGAGCACAGCCGACTGTGTATGCAGGCAGGGCAGGAGGGTCAGAGCAATGCCCAGGAGGCCGGGCAGGGCCCCAGCACCTGAGCAGGACGACCCAACCTCGGGGAATTACTTCTGAAATCCCAGCTGCTGGCAGGTCTTTCTGGAGAAGGAGTCATCCCAGGCGCTGCTGCACACCGGCAGCCACTGGCTCTCAGCACTCGAGTAGATGTGGAGCAAGGACTCGTCAGATGCGAAGCGCACTGCAGGGATGGAGCAGGCAGGTCAGTGGTACCCAGCACCCTGGGGGCTCCCCTCACTCCCACCACCCCTGGCTCCCGGTGCCTCACCGCAGCCCAGCTCGTCACTCCTCTGGGAGCAGTCGACGATGCCGTCGCAGCGCACGGGGCTGTCCTTGCAGCTCTCAGCAGGCTCCTTGTACACGATGCCGGTCTGCGACCGCCAGAACATAACTGGAAGCAAGTGAACGCCGTGGTGAGGCTGGGGCTACCAGCAGGGGCTTGCTGCGGGCGAGGGTGCTGTAGGACACCCGGACGGGAGTCCAGAAGAGGTCTGCCATGCACAGGGACATTGCCAAACACGAGGCGTGAGCTGGGGTGCAGGGCTGCCGTTTGAGCCAAGGCTGAAGAGATGCAGGATGCAGGGCTGAAGGAGGACTGGCCAGCCCTGAGCATCCCCCCATGCCAGCCAGCTGCTGCTGCAATTCCCTCTCCCCTAACCCACTTCTAGCTGGCTTCTGCAGAAAGGTGCATCCAGCCTGCCGAATGCTTCAAGCCCACCAGCTACAGCAGCTGGAGAACTGACAGCTAGACATTACGAGGATTAAAGCGATTGCCCTGGTATCTGTGCCTGTTCCATCGACAGAACACACTGTTTTTGACAGGTCCTGCCTGCTAACCCTGGTCCTCAGGGAGGGCGAGCGTGGGTGCTGCTGGGGGTGCCCCGCCGCCCACCGAAGCAAGCCCAGGAGAAGGAAAGCACGGTGCAGCACATCTCCTCTCCCCAGCGATCCTGCTCCTGCCTGTCCACCAGATGTCAGGAACACTCAGGAAACGGGAAGAAGACATCTCTGCCTGCTCCCTCCGAGCCTGCATGTCTCCCTAGCATCTGCTGACCCCCAGCCCCTCTGAGGTCTTCCCCCCTGGGGAGCCCCAAGCCGGGACCCCACTCACACAGCAGGATGAGAGCGATGAGCAGCACGATGAGGACGGAGATGCAGAAGATGAGCGCAAGCCGTCGCTGGCTCATGCAGGGAGCTCTGAACATGGAGGATCCTGGCAGCAGGGCGGAGGCAGGGTCAGGGGGAGCTGCTGTCTCCCCAGGATGCCCGCATCCCACTGCCCACTAGCGTGTGCCAAGAGCTCCCTGGCTCCCCATGCACCTGGCTCCCCAGAGGGCCCACGAGATGTGGGAGAGGAGGGCTGCACACACCCCGCACCATCCCGTGGCGTCCCCCCATCCTGCCACAGTCACTGTCCTCCCCCTTGCCCCCGGCACCCCTCACACCCCCAGGGAAACACCAGCCTGTGGCTGAGGCTTGTGCCAGCTGTGTGCACAGGCACCCATTCCCTGCCTCTCTCCATCCCTCCCCACCCTCGGTGGGACCGGGGCCAGGGTGGCCAGAGACCACCCTCGGCACCATCCTCTTACGTGCGCTCTCACAGGTCGTGCAGGGGGCCGGGGCTGGGCTGGACTCCGGGCTGTAGGGCTTGAAGCTAATGCCGAGGACGCTTTCTCGAGGCTGCGGCGGTCGGGCACTGAAGATGTTGCTGACTGTGGAGGCATGGAGGCTGGGAGGGACACTGCTGGACGATGCCGTGGTCTGTGAGCAGAGGAGACTGTTACTGGCAACAACCGATGCCCACCGGAGAGTCCCTGCAGAGTCCCCAGGTGGCCGTGAAGGCAAAGGCAACAGGGAGCCGAGCTCCCCAGCAGGGCCAGCTGTTGCCACTGGTGGCTATTCTTCCACAGTACTAGGAACCGCATGGAGAGTTACTGCCACGGTCCCTCTTTCTGTACCATGGAGCCCGAGCCGTACCCCCTCTGTGATGGCTGAAAACCTCTTTGTCACAGAGCTTTTCCCCTTTAGGTGGCTGCTGGCCAAATTTCCCAAACTGGTCTCTTTGATCAGAGCCATCAGCCGGGTATTTGGCATCGGGTCAGTCACGCTGTGGCCCAGTTCCACGGGGCTAGTGCCCCAATTTATGCATCTATCTTTAATTAGCCATTTGAAAAATACAGTGCAATTTCCAGCTGTTATTTAGTAATACTTAATAATCGGTGTTTTCCAAGCCCTGAAACGTCCTGCACCCTGGAATGCTGTTCTGCAGTTGCGTCACTCCTGATCCATGAATTTGCAAAAGAACATGCATTTCTTCCCTTTCCTCAAGATACACTCTTCCCAGCGCTCCGTCAGCTTTGATCAGCTACAGAAGCGAGAGCCTCTCATTTGCCTTCAGAGAGGACCTGTGCACAAAGCCCACAATAAATGCCGTTCTCGCTGCCATTCGTAAAATCTTATACACATCTTTGGCAGTAAGAAATGGCTGCGTGCCTTGCAGAAACTGCAAGGGCATCGCCAGCCAGCCCACAGCACTGAGAGCCCGGCCTGGGCTTCGTTCTCGACAGGTGCTTCCCACATTGCCTCGCTCCTCCTGCCCGCCATCTCCCAGCACTGCTCCCAGTGGCACGCAGCCACGACCGACCGCATTTGCACTGGGCTGTTCAAGGGAAGCCAGTCAAATTTGGACTACGTCTGTCCCTACAGACAACCTCGCTGCTGTCCTGCAGAAGGGGCACCGCAGGGAGAAACGGAGCTGCCATCCTTTGGCAGCAGAGTGCAGCCAGCTTGGCACCCACACCCCAGCCCACCTCCCAGGAGGTGGGCTCAAACACGCCCCTCTGGAAACCTGTCTCTGATTTTTGGCCCTGCAGCTGCTAGAGATCACATTTCCCCATAACCAGAAAACATCCCTTTCCCTGCCAAGCCGGCAAGCAGCACCTGGGCTGCACGGCTCTGGAACAGGCAGAGAGGACAGGGACCTTGGGCAGAGCAGGCTGCCACCACCAAGTTGTCCCCTTCTAGCTGGATTTTCTTTGCTCTCCTGTTTCCTGCTGGGAACTGAGGGCCGTAATGAGCACGTCGGGAGCCTGCTCAGGCTCATGCTTTGTAAATACGGCTGTGCCCTTTCTTGCAATGCGGTGGTGTAACTTCCTGGGCATTATCCCGTGAGTCACAAACCCCGGCGTGGCCACGCATGCTGCCCGCGCAGGGTCTGCGTCTGCCTCAGCCCCCAACTGAACATCGCGGGGGGACACACACCACCTCTCGAGCTGTGCCTCTGTAACTGCTCACAGCCCTGGTGCACCAGCCGCAGAGCCGGCAGGCACAGCACCCCGGGCTCCCGGGGAGGCTGCCTGGCCACCTGCCCTGGCCAGCGGCAGGGTGCGCAGGGCCACCCCCCGGCACAGACCTCCTCCCGCTGCCTGCGGGGCCCTTGGCACGGGCACCGCTGAGGTCTCCCGGCCATTGAGAGCCACCTTCCCGCTCACGGCCAGCGGCTCCCTGGCCTCCTGCACGTACCGGGAGGAGCAGAGGCAGTTTCACAGCACCGCCCATCCCTTCTCGCCCCTTCCCCGTGTGAAAGCGATAACAAACCTGAATTTGCTCAGCCTGCAGCTGAAGACCAGCTTCCCCTATGCCTGAATTTCACAGCATCCGTGCGGGCAAGCCCGGGACAGCCATGCTGCAGGCTCGCCTTATCCTGGGCTCTCCCAAAGGTGCCAGGGAGCCCAGGGGAGCCCCTCGGTGTGCTCCACAGGGCTGGGCTGGCACAGCAGCCAGGAGGGCTGGGGAGTGCCCCAGCAGCATCCTCTCCTGATGAGTCTGAGCAGTCATGCCGATGGGATTCAAGTTCTTGCAGCAAGTATCGCACGTCCACACCATGAAACATCCCTGGGTACCTTTGGTGCCCATTGTTAGAAAGCGTACGGGATCAGCGAGAGAGCCAGAGCTGCTGCAGGTCCTGTGCCACTGCTTTGCAGAAACAAAGCAAGGCATAGATGCCAGGAACCCTTCCTAGGAAAATAATTTCTCTGGTCTATGTGTAAACAAGGTGTTTGTAAATACCCAGACAGTATGATTTACATTGGCATTTGTATGCTATCTCCACATGTCTGATATTTCACCTGCCTCATCCTGCAGCAAGGGCAACCCTTTGGTTATCAGATCAGCAGAATTACAATGCTGTTAAGGACAAACCTCCCCATCGTACTAGAAAATGCAGCTCAGCTTCACCAGTAAGCCAGTGATGCTGGATGCTAAAGCATTTCAATCTCCAGCGTGCAAACGTTTCAAATTAACATGTAAGTATTCTATAGTTTAAATTGCTCTTACTATTCTTTAGCAGGAAACACATGCCCTTTCTTACTCTCAGGTGAACTATTAGCTACTTATTTCTCTAAAAGTCTAAAGTCCAAGTATTTTTTTTCTGTCTGTCGCAGAAGCTAACAAAACTTTTACCACAGGCTCCCGGTAACCAGCATAACTGGTTGCTGTTTGTATAACCACTGGAGCAGAGAACAAACAGCAGCGGCTTTACGAAGATATTTCTGTTAAGGAGTGTGCATTACCCCGGTGAGTGAGCTGTGACTTCTGCCCACAAAACCTTTACTCACTCTTTGCTGGCTTTAGAATAAAAGTCAGACCCGGAGCCGTGCCTATCTCACACGTGCGGCTGCGGTTTGAGCCCCTTTTTCTGACGTCCTCTCTGCAAATGTTCCACCAGCCACGAGAGTGTTAAGCGCTGCTGTGGGCTGGCATCTGAAAGTCAGGCGTGGGGAAGGGGAGAACAACCGGCTCCTTTCCGTGACAGGCCTGACTTTCAGACAACCGGGGAGGAGGGATGCTGGGGATGTGCGGGCAACTGCTGCCCAGCTCTGCTCGCCTCATACCCGGCCCAGGCTGCCTGGGGGATGAGCAGACAGTGCCAGTCTGCAGCACGAGTCCTTTGCTAAACCTGTCACAAGCGTAAACACCGCCTCACTCTGCTCTCAGGCTTTAAGCAGAGCTGGGAAAAGCACCTAACCCACAGACAGCAGCGCTGGGGAAGCCCATCCCCTTTGCACCATGAGCTACTATGTGCACCAACCTCCAGCTCGACTCCCTGCTGCAGAGGGCAATCACCAGGTGAAAGACCCAGTCCGGGCTGGGTTCAAGGCTCAGGATCCACGCGTGATGGGGAGGGAAGGCTGGGAAACCAGCCAGCAGTCACCCATAGTTTCGGAGCAGGAGGGAGAGCAGAAGCGAGGCAACACCTGGGGTGTTGCAACCAGACCCAGGGCCAAGCCATGTCTCAGAGGAGCAAAAGGGCACAGTGACTACCAAAAACGTGGAGCATCAAGAGTGGAGAGAGGCAGCCTGCCTTAAATAAGCTGGAAGGAGCTGCCTAAAGAGGTGATCATCTTTCCCAGCTGAGCTCAGCAGCCCACCCCTCACCATCGCTCTCTGCTGCTCACAGCCCCCTTGTTTGGGGCAGGGAACTGGCTCCTTCACCTGGTTGCGGAGCCCTGATTGTCCAGGGCAGATTAGCTCAGCAAGCACACAACAGCGACATTGTCCTCGTGCTCCCTTGGGACCCGTTCCCTCCCAGTGACACCCGTCCCACTCGAGTGCCGCAGCTGAGCGATGCCTCAGCAGTGCCTCCCTGGAAGGAGGCAGACCCCCCAGTCCCAAGGACGAACTGGGCAGGAGCTGCGAGAGGACGCTGCTGAGACCCGGATGCCGTAAAGCGGCAACACACGGGGAAGTGAAATCCCAGAGCACAGAAGGGCCATTTTGCAAGTGCAGTTGACAAGCCGTGTTGATTGAGTCAGCCCGATCTGGCCAGGGAGAGGCTGCCATATGCCAGTGTGAGCAGCCCTTCAGGCAGGGATCAGAAAATGTTCCAGCGGGTGAATAATCGCTGCTCACCCCATTCCATGGAGGGGCAAACAGAGGCACAGAAAGATGAAGTGACTCTCCTGCAGTTGCAGAGCCAAGGGTGGCACCCAGGAATCCTAATGGCCCATTTAATGCAAGTGACAAAGCCAAGGTGGCCCGGTGGGCATGCCCAATACTGGGTAATTGTCTCCATATGTGGGCATCCCAATTCCTGCCCCGCTTTCAGCAAGACACAGTGCTGCTGCCCACTTTCAGGGCCACCCAGAGCCAGGATCACACTGCAAGGCAGTGCTGGGGGCAAGCTGCCCCTCCTTTGGGACCCAGCCAGGATCTGGTAAGAGCCCACTCTGCCCCTGCTCCTGGCTGCCTCTGAGGCACCTGCACGCCAAGAGGCAGGAAAAGGGTGGCTTTTACAGCTGGCCCTGCCTCCCCTCGAGCCCCATCCACTCCGTCACTGCCGCCTTTGCATGTTCCGGATGTTGCTGGCACAGCCAGCAGCGCTCGGCGTGGTAATTACCTGCTGCCTCACCCGGGCAGGCTGAGCCCAGTGCCCAGCCGGGGATGGATGTTTTCCTCATGACAGGATGCTCAGCAAGGTCCCATAGCCGAGACTGAGCAGGACCCAGTCAACCCAGCCCGAAAAGAGCATGAGGAAAACTGCCAGGAGAGCGGGCGAGGGAGTGCAGCGGGTGCCAAGGCCACCAGCGTGCTGCCGCTGCTACCGATGTGCTGGCGGGAGGTGCCAGAGGGCTCCAGGATTGCACAGTTTCCGTGGGCGCCAAGCGGCACCAGCAGCGCCAGCCCACTCCACCAGCCTGTACCCCCTCAGTTCACAAATTTGCTCCAGCGTGGAAAAGCAGCGGTGCCAGGGGCCCCCAACACCTCCTCTGCTGGCACGGGGCTGACACCGGGGATGCTGGTGGCAGTCCTCCCTCCGTGTGCCGAGGGGATGCTGGAGGCAGCAGCCCCACAGGCAGCTCGCCCCGGGTCTTCCTCTGTGAAGGCAATGCCCCAGAGAGCAAGAGGCAGAAACTGGGCACTCCACCAAACCCCAAGGAAAGCAGGTCCGTACGGCCACAGAGCAACCCCCAGTACTTCTAGCTGGGTCAGAGCTGGGGGAGCTGCCCACGCCTTACCAGAGAGGTTTTCCCGTCCATCGGCCGCTGCAGGGCTGGGCTGGGATCACAGCTCCGGCACAGCCATCCTTCGCTGCGCAGCGCGGTGCAGAACAAAGTCAGGTCCGCAGGGACGGGGCAGAATCTGTTTGGCGAGCGGGCTCGTACGTCAGTGCCAGCGCCGGGTGCGGAGGGAAACCAGTCCGACCTGCCGCCCGGCTCTACCGCTGCCTGTTTCCCAACTGCTCCAGGCACAGCGTGCAAAATACCTGCCTCTGCTGCCGGTCACCCCGGCCAGGCCCTGAGGAACGCTGGGCAGGGGCAGCAGGAGCCTCGGCTGCTGCCAAATGTCTGGGAGTCTGGGAGCAGGTGGGGTCTGGCCCTGGGAGAGAGCAGCATCCCAGGCACCTGGGGATCCTCACTGCTCTCCCGGCTGCTTGCCCGCCCAAGGCCGCCCTTCTGCACTGTGTGCCTGCCCCGCGCTCGCCCACAACTCTCCTGCCCCAGGCTGAGGGCTGTGCGCGCCAGCCGAAGATGGGAGAGGAGGGGATACGCAGCCATGTCCAACCCCGGTAAAAACCCTCTCATGCGCCCCGGGTGACCGAGAAGTCCGGAATGCCCTGTTTCAAGGGAAAAGAAATGCCATTTCCCTCCAGTTTCTCTAGAGGCTTTGTCACTCCTTTGCTAATGGAGCAATGCTCTCACATTGTGCAAGGAGAAAGCAGCGGTCTCCCACTTCCTTCTGTGGGCATGAGCCAAGGGATGCTTTGCTTAACCCAGAACTCACATTTGGGTGAAACAGGTAAAAATATCCAGATTAAAAGGAAAAAGGCCCAGCTACATTGTGCGTTTTCTGATGTCCAGGCCCTGGACCCATGACCCTCGGTGCCACATGCCCCTCTCGCCCCAGCCCCTGGCTGCCAGAGGAGCGACTACAGGGTGGATGAACGAGGCTGGTGGGGAGCCTGTGCCCGCACTTCTTGCTGGCCAGGGCTGCACCGCGGTCTCTGCTCTGCACCGCGCAGCAGAGAGGCGGGATGGTGCTTCATGTAATCCAGGCTGCTCCCAGCTTTGGCCAGCGTGTGGATGAGCAGCCTCTGGGATAAGAGGTCATTGCAAGAAATGGCCCCCCTCCTGCCTGCCCACTTGTGAGGGCTGGCACTGGGCAGTGTGAGGGCAGTGCATGGCTCGACCAGGAGGAGGGCAACCTCTTCGATGGCTCAGTCCTGGGAGGCTCTGTCCGACAGCGTGGTGCCTCCTGTGAGCCCCATCCCAACACTCTATTCCAGGCACATTTCTCCCGGCATTATTCATAGCATAAGTCCCTTATTCATCCGGCTCCCCACCCACACCTGCTCATCGGAAGCGCAGGAGACAAGCAGGGCCATCCAAGCTTGAAGGAAACCTGCTTTGAAGCCCCCTTGATTTCAAGGCTGAAAAGCCCGGGATGGATCCCGCTGTCCCCTCCACCCTGCCCCGGGGCTCCCCATCCTGTCCCTTCCCAGAGGGGTCAATTCCTGTCCTTCTCCTGCGCACTGCCTGGGGCCAAGCCCCGGTGGCCAGAGAGGGGGATCAGGGAGCTTGGTGGAGAAGACCGACACCCAACTCCATCCTGATCTTGGTGTTTACCCCTCTTCTCTTCTGGCGAGCTTATTGTCAAGCCCTTTGCCTGCCTTTTTCCAATGAGCCCACGCAGGGCCTCGCTGCCCTGGCAGGTCCAGCACGTGCACTTCAACGCATGGGGCAAACACTTGCCCAGTGGTGGCCACGAACCAGGCCACCTGCTCTGGGGATCCCCTGCCTCCAGGGTGGTTTCTGAGCCAGCCCTCGCCCTGCAGCGCACTCCTCCCTAGTTTCCACGTGTAGGACTAACAGCATTTTGTTTGCTTTTTGCAGCTACCCCATGCCGCTGAGGGCTCTGCCCTGCTGGGGTGCAGGGACAGAGGGAGGCAGGGGCTGCCAAGCAGGGAGCTATGTCCCCTGAGCTGGCCTTGCCTGCATGCCTGTGCAAGCTGCCACGTCCTCTTCTGAAAAGGGATTCTCAGAAAGTAGCTCCAGGTGGCAGCTCCAGGAATGATTGCTTGCTGGTGTTTCTACAAAGCCACCTACGGAAAGCAAGTTACAGAGAACTGTTGTGTCTGGGCTTGACCCCATCAACCTGATGTTAAATGTCAGGCATGTGCAACACTTCTCAGGTGAAATCCTCACACTTTCTTGCTGATAACCATTCCTATGAGCGCTGCTGCACCCTCCTACCCTCCCAGCTTGCAGACCAAGGCACAGCTGGAGCCGGTACCACCAGCCTGGGAGAGCCCAGCGGCACCTCCGCTCTCTGCTCCAACCTCCAGGCATGAGAGAACTGGGAAGGGAAGAGGATAACTCTGCTCTTCCAGGCAAGGTGCTTTGTCCCACGGCAGGGCTGTGCCCACGCAGAACCAGGCCTCCGGCCCCAGCCCTGTGCCGCAGGGTGCAGCATTGCTGCCCGATCCTGCCCCTCTGGGGCTGTACAATCCCCCTGCCGCCCTGGGCAAAACTCCACGAAGTCTGCAGTAGTGGAGGGCAGGGAAAAGCAGAGACCAGCTCCCCCAGGGGTTCTATGGGCTAGGTTTCTCTGTGGTGGTGTCCGAGAGGAGCTGCAGAGGCTCTGGGGAAAGACCTGCTGTGCAGTTCTGACTCAGGTGATTTCCAGGTTATTAAAACCAGGGCTATTCCTATTCAAAGATTAGTCAATTATTTTGAAGATGAAAAGGAAACTCAGCAGCGTTCTCGAGGGCTGGTTTGACCCATGAACTCAAAACCTCTCCTGCTGACATCAAAAAAGTGAGGCTGCTCTTTTCTGCAGCACCCTGTTTTTAATGCAGTGCTTCAGGTGGTCAGCAACGCCTGCTACAAAGCTCATCTGCGATTATCGCCGGCTCCCCTGCCTGTGCTGGGGCTGCAGGGGCTGGGGGTGCCTCAGCACAGTGCATGGCCATGGGACAGGGCTGCATGCCGGGCAGGGGCTGCTGTGCCCACCTGCCTCGGGCTGGGAAGACAGGTCTGCCCTCCTTTCCCTGTGAGACAGCGGCTCCCTCCCTGGGGCCCCTTGCAGCAGAGCTGGTGCCAGCAAAGGTAGCGGGGAGACAAGAATTCTGCTGCCTCAAGGATGCCAAGTGGCATTTCATGGAGGATGAGGGGAAAGCACTGACAAGACAGGGAACCTGGGCAGCATCTGCGCTGCGAGCCACAGAGTGGGCAGCGTGCAGGGCACCACCACGCCGTCCTGCCACCAGCTCCTCCTGTGGCACCTGGCAGTGCCCACACCTGCACAGCAGCTCAGGTGCCAGCACGAGCACTTCGGGGTAACTGTGCCACTCACGATCTGAGGGTTCTGCAGAACTGTCATTTCTGCTCAGGCCGTTTCATTTTCCCCGAAATTGCCAACCATTTCTCCCAAGCCTCTGAACCGCCTCACCCACAGGACCAGTCCCATGGTGTCTTTTCCACACAGCTCCCTCCTTCCACATTTTTGGTCCCATTGCTTTTGATTTTCATTCCTTTACATGAAACACGAGCTGTGGCTTTGTGTGGGATGGGCTGTGCTTCATCTCAGGACTCCTAAATTCAGTGGATGCCAGATCTGACTCATGAGCTGATAGCAGAGTGACAGGACATCAGCTGGTCTCCCAAAGAGGGGAGAATAAAGTCAAGCTGGGGTGAAGCCAGGGAGGGGATCTGCTGCTGGAGCCCTCATCCCCTGCCCATTCCTATGGCTAGCCCTCAGCAGAGGAATGGCCTTCGGTGAGGGAGAGCCTCTCCCCCCTGCTGGGCACCCAGCACCACCACCCCATGCCTGTATTCGCTGTGGCCCCGGTGCAGCGGAGCCGAAGCTGGTGTGTCCCCAGGTGCCACAAGAGCCAGGCAAGCCACAGTCCTGTGCCCGAGGTCCTGCTGCCAGGGTACCGGAGGACAGCTTGGCAGCACCGCTGGACTCAGCCTGCAGCTGATGAATTTGCTGGTGCTCTAGCAAGGCTGCAAGTTCGTGGAAGCCTGTGGGCTTTAGCAGGAAGGATGAGTCAGGGGACGGACTCTGTTTAGAGTCAGGGCAAAAAGCAGAAATCTCCCACTTTGGGCATTTAAGGTGGCTCTTTGAGGAGCCATTCCGCTATGGCAAAAGGGACCTGGGGTTCTGCACCTCTGCACCCACCGAGCCAGGGACTGCTCTGAAGCTTTCTGAGGCTGTCCAGAGCAGTCTCAGTTTCGCTTGCTCTTTTTATCTGTGTCCTTTCCACTAATTCCCCAGTGGGAAATTCCTTTTCTCAAGACAAATCGCTCTCCATCACATGAGGGCCCCTGGATTTGCACAGGCCCCAGGAAAGCCCTCGAGCAAGCTCTATTGTAATTCTGCCTGCCAGAAGGCAAAGCAGAGGACCCGCAGTCTGCTCGGTGGTAATTCAGGTCCTAGCACCTGAGGCCAGCGTCACCAGACCAGCAGGACATTGCCGTGAGGCCAGACTCCCACGGCCATGTGCAGCGTGGCCGTCTTGGGGCCCCGGGTCAAGCTGAGAGCTGCCGGAGCCCCGGGGACAGCTTACAGCCCCCTCTGCCGCACCTGACGTCAGAGCTTGCGCTGTCACGCACACGCGTAGGCGCTCGCAGGACACATAACAGCCCAGAGGCTGTCACTCGGCCCCGGAAGTGGGGAAAGGCGAACGGCGGACTGAAGCAGCAGGGTACGGGCTGAGCCCAAAGGAAGAGAAAGCAAGAACCCCCTCCCGGGGCTGCCGGGCTCCCCAGGGCTGGCTAGGACCCGACCGGCTTTAGCCGCTGGCAGGACAGGACACTGGCCCAAGAGGACACTGCTGGGCGGGTGCTGTGCTCGGTAAAATCCCGGTGACAGGTCAGCCTAGGTACTTACGCTCAGCCCCTGTGCTCTGCTTTTAATACCTCATTTAATAATGAAGCAGCAGCCGCACGATTTACTCCTATTTTCCCTTTCTCAGCGGTATACCATTTTGTTTAGAAAAGCCCCCAAAGCTCTTCCTTGAAGGCTGCCTGTAGGA